GATGTTTCTCCAACAGTAAACTTAAGGAGTGTGTTAGGGAAGAAGCTTGACTTAGTTCCTAGCCGCTAGTCGGCGGCATGATGAATAGGGGTACTTCCGTTGGTTCCCAGTTAATAATGGCTGTGACCAGGGAGCTTTCAGGATGTTTGTTACTGGTGCTCTAAACTCCCCGCCCTATAGTTTTGGAACATTCAGCTCCTACCTGCTCTGCAGGGTGCATGCCCTTGAATAACACGGAGTGCCTGGTTAAAGAAAAGCAGCACTCTTGCCGCAGAACACGTGGCGCTGAAAAGCTGCTAACTCCACTCTGCTGAGTCCTGCTGCACTGCTGCTGTCGGCTTACCACTCAGGTTTGCAGATGTTCTCCTGCGATGGGGAGCTGCGCTCTTCCAGTCCTCAGGTCAGCTGGGGCCTCATGATAGTCAACTGGGAACACTTGGACAAGAGGGGAAGGCTGGCCTTATGGTCCGGGATTTGAGAGATCTGGGGTCAACCACTGGCTCTGAAACAGGCTTCTTAAGTATGCGACCTTGCTCTAGTTGTAAAACAGGGATAATATACTTCCTTCATCTGTTTAGATCATAGGCTTGGATTGTCTCTGACAATGTGTATGTACAACACCCAGCACGATAGGGCACAGATGTTAGTTGGGGTCTTTAGGTGCTATTTTTGATTTATTTGTAGAAAAATAAATTGCCTGAAAAGACTGGGAACCACAAGTTAATCAATGTTCTTGAATCTGTCTCGCTTATCCAATCCTTTCTCGTACACTGGATTGCCCCACATGCCCAGTTTGTAACAGAAGGTTTCCATTGCTTTTGAAATAGAGAAACCCAAACCAATTCGTCATTGGAGTTGCCTCTTTTAGTCCAGTTTGGTTCAGAAAGGCTAACGGAGTCACTTGTTTATTATTCCAATTCACACTATTATCCTGCCCCTCCTCTTTAGTCCCCTGAACTATTAGATCTCCTCTGCTTAGCTCCCTGCCTTCACAGACTCTAACCTCCAGGGCATGGGACACATGGCTTCTTTCATAGCTCACTGTCAGCACATGCTCCCTGCAGAATTAGGGTATGGATTGAGGGGCCCAAGTTTTAGAAGTCTGGCCTAAGTGACTTGCCCTGTGTCAAAGAGGGAGGCAAATCAGAACGCCTGGCTCCCAGGGTCACATTCTGACCACGACACCACACTTCAATCAACTGCCCAGCCTTTATAAAAGGACATTATTGATGTTATTTTTAAAGACCTCTTTTGTTTTGCTGCCAACAAAACCAAAGAAACCTAAAGCTGAAGCCTGCTTCCAAGCTGAATTTCTTTCTTCAGCTTTGTGCTCTGTGTGTGTGTGTGTGTGTGTGTATATCTAGGAAGGTTGTTTTGTCATAGTCTTGATTGGCTGCACCTGTGTACTAGGGAGGGGTCCTATCCTGTCCCCAGGCTTCTCTGAGAGCCCACGCACCCACTGTCCCATCATTGTTGCTGAATGATAAGAGCCATATTATGTGACTCTGAATCAGGGGTAATCAGTAGTCTGCATGTCTCCTCCTGCCTTTGTTATGCATAGGGTTGCCAACCCTCCAGGATTGTCTTGGAGCTTCCAGGAATTAAAGATTAATCTTTAATTAAAGATTATGTCATATGATTAGACCTCCAGGAATACCTCCAACCAAAATTGGCAACCCGAATTATGCACCTCCTTCCCCATCCATGTCCTTTCCCCACACCTGCAGTTGTTTCACTCCCAACAGAAAACACTAGGATTCTACATGTACTGCACCCCACATATCACTGATCTCTCAAATGCTTCCCCTTCTCTTCTGTTACTTCTGAATGCTTCTTAATTTCCTGTCCTGTCTTCCCTACCCCTGGGCCTGATCCAAAGCCCACTGTAGTCAATTGAAAAATGCCCATTGATTTCAATCTGCTTTGGATCAGGTCTGCGGGTCTGAACCTTTCCCCCCTTGAAGTCAATTGCCAACTCATTGACTTCAATGGTGCAGGATCAGTGACTACGAGAACATCTTAATTTCCTTCTGTCAGCGCAGTCCAATTTCTCCCTTTACCGCTTCAGTCCTTATGATGCATCCTTCTACGTGCCCCGCTTATTCCAGTTTCCTTCTGCCACACTTAAGTTCCCTGTTTCTGCGTAAGAGACATCTGCTCTCCGACAGGCCTCAGTATGTTCTGTGCTACCACTCCCTGTGGAGTAATATGTTTCAGAAGCTGGCATGGGCTTCTCCACTGGCCAGGACTTCATGGGAGAGCCATCTTGCCCATGCACCCCATAGAGATCTTCAGGAGACTGACAGGTTAACCTGCTTTCCTGTTAATCCTTGTCAGCAGGGAATGCCAACCCAGCCCACTTCCCTGCCAGCACTGGGCTTCCCTGCCAGCACCTGTGACAGGAAAACATGCTCTTCCCTCAGCACTGATCAGACTGGGAGAGGCAGCTTTGCCCACTCCACAACCGGTTGGAGTTTGTATGGAGCAGCAGGCTAGCCGTGAGGAAAGGATGCAGAGGAATGGCTGGCAAGCCTATTTTCCTTCTGGCACAAATCATCAGGAGAGCAGCAGGCTGCTGTCCCTCTGTCCTAGACACCCCTGGCAGGAATGTAAATTCATTGTGCCACATACTCAGGGCCCCAGCCCAGCAAGAATCAGGGTTGAGCACACTGCACATAAATGTCAATCTCTGCTGGGTTGTTTGGGTCCTAATCACCCACCCATATTTTTTTTTTAAAAAAGCTATGGGTGATTTTTTCCTAATAATGAATCCACAGAAGGAGTGTTACTGCCATCAGGAAGTGTCAATGGCTGCTCCCAACACTACGTTTTAGGAGGCTGTTCCTTGAAACTATAAAAGCTTTGTCATTACTTGTCCTGACTCCCCAACCAGTATGCTGTCCCCTAGACACCACCCTGCCTCTCACCGAGTTCTAAAAGTCACTGGTGTTTACGAGTAGCTTGTCAATTGCTGGCTACCCAACTTGGAGGCTTATTAAAGGGGCCTGGTTTTCAGAACGTGACGGACACCCACTCTCTGAAAATCCCTCCCCTGTGAAGTGTCTCAATTTGAGCCACGAAAATCATAATTATGAACATTATAGTAGTGCCCCAACTGAGATCGGGACCCTATTGTGCAAGGCACTGTATATAAAATGGTTAGAGATGGTCCCTGCCACACAGAACTTCCAAGATAAACTGATAAAGGGTTGAAAGGGAAATGGAGGCACAGAGGATGATTTGCCCAAGATTATACATCAGGTCAGTGCCAAGAATAGCACCCAGGTCTCTGAGGCCCGATGCATTAGACTACCACTTGCCACTGCCCCTGAAAACTTTGGCCACTATTAGTAGCTTTGTGGCTTGGCCCAATCTTTGCATTAAGCTGCAATGCAGTTTGCCCAGGGGAGCTCTGCTTTGTAATGCAAAGAAACAGTCTGAAGAAACTGAGTTAAACCAAAGCGAATTGGTCCTCAATAAATCTTTTGTTTGTAACCACTTTTAAGCAAACACTAGAGAGCTGAATGAATAGCTTTCCTAGTTTCATTGCAAGACAATGTCAACCCCCCAGTCGCCTCCCTTCACTGCAATGGTAGATTAGAGGTATATATGTATGTAAAAAGAAGATGCTAAATGACATGAAGTACTGAGAAGGGAATGAAATGATATGGGCTCAGAATAAAGTGTTGTTTCTTTATTCAACTGCAAAAGCCTTCTCTCAGGATGTTTTGAATTTAAATTTCACTCTTGGAATAACAATGGCTTTTTAAAGGGGTGTCTGTGTATCTCTGCACATTAAAATACCGTGATACAAGTGACAGAAGCACAAAATCACTGGAGAAAGGAATGTACAGTTTAGTTGCAGCCGTGTTGGACCCAGGATATTAAAGAGAGAGGGTGGGTGAGGAAAGATCTTTTATTAGACATGTTGGTGACAGAGACAAGCTTACACAGAAGAACTTTGTCTAGGCTAGAAAGCTTGTCTCTGTCATCAACAGAAGTTGGTTCAATAAAAGATCTTACCTAATCCACCCTGTCTCTGAATAAAGGAGTGCAATACAGATCTGCAGCCTTACATATTGTCCTTGTGCTGGAGAAGGCGAGTGTCTGTTTTTAGAAGACCTCAGGGATACTCAGTGGAATGATTTAGTTGGGGATTGGTCCTGCTTTGAGCAGGGGGTTGGACTAGATGACCTCCAGAGGTCCCTTCCAACCCTGATATTCTATGATTCTATGAATGCTCCTTGCCAGTCAGGATGATTTTTGTAGAGTCCATGTTTTTGAATGTGCAGGAAGGATGGTCTTATGGTTAAGGCAGTGGACTGGGACTCAGGAGATAATGTATAGAGCTTTTCAGTCCTACATCTCAACGCACTTTATAAAGGAGGTCAGCATCAGTAGCCCCATTTTACTGCTAGGTAAAGCAGAGGCCCAGAGATGTGACGTTACTTGCCTAAGGTCCCCCAGCAGGCCTGTGGTAGAACTGGGAACAGAACTCAGGGCTCCTGAATCGCAGTTGAGTGCCTTATGGGTTTGATTCCTACCTCAGTTGCACAATTCTGTGCGAACCTAGGACAAATCTACTAATCTTTGTGTACCTCAGTTCCCCATCTGTAAACTAAGGATGATAAATTGGGAATCCTTTGTTTATATTGTAATCTCTTTGGGGTAGGGATAGTTTCTTACGATGGGTATGTGCAGTACCTTGCACAATGAGGCCCTGGTCTCACCTGGAGTCTCAAAGTCCTACTGTAATATTAAAGAAACTTACTGGGAACTTGACAGTGTCTTATTAAATCTTATTAGCAATGTTAATTCAAATTGGTATGAAACACTGAGCATTCCACCTGGACTGAAAACAGCATGAAGTTCTGCGAATGTAGAGCAATATCTAGTTAGAAGGGGTATCTAGGGAATTGCCTCGGGGGTTGGAATCAGGTGTTTTAAAATCATCCTTAATAATATGGTGATTTTTTTCCATGTTGCTTTGCATGAGGAAGAAACGGAAGCAGTCTACCTCCTGGAGGTTGCCTGTATGTGAGGCCCTATAATATCTCTGTCCTGGTACAGCCCTCTGATGGAGAAATGGAGAAGGAGCTTCCTGTTCAGCCACAAATTATTTTTTTGGATAAGCAGGTAGTGATTTAAGCAGATCGATGATTTAACTGGGAATTGGTCCTGCTTCGAGCAGGGGGTTGGACTAGATGACCTTCTGGGGTCCCTTCCAACCCTGATATTCTATGATTCTATGATTTGCCTCCCTACACGGGTATGATTCTATTACTTGCGGGCAGTATTGTCAACCCCACGCATTCGAAACTCATCAGATTGGCTTAGAAATACAGGATTTATTTTTTAATAATAAATGTTGGGTTCTTTTTCTTTGGGGTATAGGCAGGTGATGTTTTCAAGCCTTTCTTCTCAACTATGAGGACTAAAAATTTCCTTTTTTGAAGCTGAGATTCGCATGCAATCTCTTGACCCCTGAAGCTGAGGCATAAAGAAAAACATGAAATATTGTGGGCCTCATGATGAAATCACTAGAGTTGGCAACACTGAACTGTATGTTGGGGTTAACTGGAATCCCACATCTCCCTATTTTCCTGTTGCTACTTTGCATTTCGCTTCTATTATGAATCAGTCCCCTTTACCCTACTTGGGAAAATCGTAGGCAAATATCTACATAGACCTGGGTATGAACGTTGCAGATCAGGTGTGTCCTGAACTGTGATACCAAATCCAAACAGGTTTTGGGGAAGTTTGTGTCTGGATCCAGAACTGGACTCCGTGGTTTACAGCATTGCCATCCCCAGGCATTCAAAAATCATGAGTTGGGCTCCCCAAAATCACGAGCTTAGATTTAAAATCATGACATTTTAAAAAACAATATTTTGGGGTCCTTTTTATTTGTCTTATGGTGTCATACTCTTTAGGGTTCACATTTTTGAGTTTTTCCCTGTAACCAAGAAAGCTAAAAATGTCCTTTTTTAAAAAATTAAAGCTGAGATTTTCTTCTAATCACATTAATTTAGAAACCGAGGCTTTGTGAGAAGCACCAAATAATGCAAGACTCACAATAAAACAGTGAGAGTTGGCAACTCTAGGTTTAGGCTCATCTGTAGTAAATACAATACTTTGTACGATGCAATTTGTAACACATACTATGTAAATACATGCTGTTCTTGCTGCTAGGGATTAATAGATGAAAGTTGCCTTAGAAATAAAATGATTCCCATTTTTCTGCGGAAAAAACTGAACAAACCTTTTATTCCTTTCTTTTCTTCTTTGCAGGGTCGGAGAGTTGAGACATTAGGTCTGCCCTCAGAGCCATGGGTCATGACAGCCTGTCTCAAGGGCTCTTCAGAGGCTGTGTTGAAAGGTTTGGATATGTTTTGGATATGCTGTGGTGGAAGTCTCCACTAGAAGTGATGGCTATAATTTGAGGAGGTTCTTTTGAAGAAAGAATCAGGTTTAAGGCTCATCATTGAGCTAAAAAGAGAAGGCTGGATTTGAAGAAGTGTGATGGGCTGCTCACATGGGTATTAGGAGAAAAACAGCTTTAGAATGTGTTTCCATGCCCTGTCAACTTAGAAACACTGTCCAGTAGAGAAGACCCAAAATATAGGTCCTGGGGAAAAAAGAGAACGGATGGAAAATTATAAATTCATATAGCCCAGAGCTAGGCTGGTGTTAGCTGGCATAGCTCTATTAAAGTCAATGGAGCGACATCAATTTTATACCAGCAGAGTATTTGACCTAATATGAATAGAAATATCTACCTGTTTTTGTTTTGAATGTAGTATATTCCAATGAGAAAATGTTTTAGTGGGAGATTTAAACATTCCCCTTCTGGCCCTGATTTAGCAAAATACGTAAGCACATGTTTAACTTTAAGTGAATATTCCCTCTGGGCTTATTAAGGCTCACTTACATGCTTACATTTAGGCCCCAGTGTAAGTACTGTGCTGAGCTGGAAACCCAGACGTCACAGTGTGGTGCATGAAACCATGAAACAGAAGCTGCTTATAAACACAGCATAAAATTGACCATGCTAACTTCACTGCCTGAACTGAGCGAGGTTCAAAATAGAGCTGGGCAAATGGATTTTTTTTTGGATCTCTGGCAATTCTGAAAAATGAAAAGAAAATCATTTCTGTTGAGTCAAAAATGAAATTTTTCACAAAATTTCAGCAAATGGAAAAGTTTAAAAAAAATGTAGTCTGGTTAAAACGAAACATTTTGACTTTTCTGTTCAGCTTGGCTGAAACCGTCTTTTTCCAGCTCAAATTCAAAAGGCAAACAAGCAATGTCCCTGCTGAAAAGTCAGGGTTCTTACCATGGGAAGCTTTTGGGTTTACAATCAGTTTGAATGTGCCTGAACTTCGACTTGCCAAGACCATTTCCAGGAAAGTGTAAGGGGCAGGCAGTTTCCAGGATCTAGTTCAACCACCAGTTATTGGGCTAGATGCTAGGATCACTGGGTGAAATTCAGTGGCCTGTGCTATGTACAAAAATGGTAACTGATGATCACAAGGATCCATTTGGGCCTTAAAAAAAATCTCTGAATCTATTAATTTCTTGGCCTACCTGCTGAGATTGTCAAAAACCTGGCCATTTCCTCACTTTGGCTTAGCTTCATGGAAATCAAAGTTGTTATGGCTGTTTACAGCAGCTGAGGATATGATCCACAGTGTCAGTTGTGGGGTTGGTTTTGTCAGGTGTCCACAGAACAACCGCCAAATGACGATAAGGTTCAGTCACTACCGATCTAGGCTGGATTGAAACCAATAGCCTAGAAGTGAAATCCTCAGATCCCCTGTGTCACACTTCTCTGTTTCACGTGACTTTTGAATAAGCTTTATAAAAATCTGCTGTTCATTTGAAAAGAACAACCTTTTTTCCCTCCCCATTTTGCAACTCGAAACGAAAAAAATCGTGAAGGGGGAAAAAAGAGAGAAATTAAAAACAAATGGAAGTAAAAGACTCAAAAAAAGAATAGTCACCGAAAAGAAATGCACTTTACATTCTTTAAAAGATACATGCATCAAATTAATAGTCAATAAACTCCAGCAAAGAATGAATTGTGCTGTACAGATGTTCTGCATGTAATAGTTTGCTGCAGTTTTTCCTTTGACAAACGTCCTTATTGCGCTCGTCTTTTGAAGCATATGAAAGTAGCATTTAATCGAAATGGATCCGTCTAGCGCATTGAGCCTGCTTCATCTGACAGCAGTCAAACTGCCTCATGTAAAGTAGTTTAGCTCCAAATTAGCTTGCTTCTGCGTTAAATACCAGCTTGCCTGAGAGATCTTTGTGAAGACTCAATATATATATATATATATATATATATATATATATATATATAAATAAAATAATCTGAGATTTGAAGCATATGTGCCCAAAAGCTGAGATAGTCTGTGTTGAGAAGTACAGTACAGTACTCAAGGCTTCATCGTAGACTCAGAATAGCAATTGTAAAACATTAGAATGCAGCTGAAAGGATCCTCTATAAAACTGGTGTTACAGTGAGCTAAATAGTAGAGTCAAAAACACTATAGGTAGTCAAGGCAGATAGTGTGGTCATGAGGGCCGTATAAATACCTAGATAAACAGAAGAGCCAGAATAGACACTGGCAATGGGGGAAATCCATACTGCTAGGTTAAGGTCTAGATTCTTATTGAAATCATTGGGACTATTCACTGACTAAGTTACTAATTATTAGCATTTATATTACAGTGTCAGCTAGAATCCTCAGCTGAGATCTGGGTTCCATTGTGCTAAGTCAGGGATCAGCAACCTTTGGCACGTGGCCCATCAGGGAAATCCGCTGGTGGGCCAGGACGGTTTGTTTTCCTGCAGCATCCGCAGGTTCGGCCAGTCGCAGCTCCCACTGCCCATGGTTCACCATTCCAGCCAATGGGAGCTGCGGGAAGCGGCAGCCAGCACATCCCTCGGCCCGCGCCTCTTCCCACGGCCTCCATTGGCCTGGAACGGCGAACCGCAGCCAGTAGGATCTGCAGTCAGCCAAACCTGCAGACGCTGCAGGTAAACAAACTGTCCTGGCCCGCCAGCTGATTTTCCTGACGGGCCATGTGCCAAAGTTGCCGATCCTGGTGCTAGGTGCTGCATATACAGAGATGACGAGACAGTTCTTTCTGCAAAAAGCCGGCAATCTAAGTGAACAGGACAGACAGTGGGTAGCAGGGGAAACAGCCACTCAGAGGGGAAGTGACTTGTCCAAGATTACTAGGCAGCAGTCGCTGGGCTGCCATGCAGTTGCCCAGCACTCCCACTGCTTTTCATTTTCTCTTTCCGCACCCAACATTCTGCAGCTTCCCTGGGCTGGATCGGACCCTCACTGTTCAACAACCCTTGCCAAGTTTATCTTCTGACCAGTGATTGTACCATTTCAATAATCTCTTTGCTGCTGGGCATTGGCTTCTCAAAGAAGTCCTGTTAAGTGAGGTGGGCAGCGCTGGTACTGGGTTTTGCCTGCATTATGTACCTGAAATGCTTAAGGCTGAGACCCCTGATACTTGACAAGTGTATATTACTAGAATTAGGATTCTTACTAGCTGAAGCCCAGACTATGAATCCCTTGTTCATACTGAATAGTACTTTGTACCATGAATAGTTCCATTGAAGTCCACTGGGCTACTTGTGTTGTGAAGTATGAATGACTAAGTAGGAGAAAGGGTATCCTAAGCCGGCCCATAATTTAAAACCTTCCTGCATCCCTTTAACAGTACTGTCAATTTGTGGTGTGCATGAACTTTCCTGTTGAAGATGAGTCCAAGAGATGGTTGTAAAGATCTGTCCCCATCCCCAGAGTAGTAAAATTACCAGAAGTAGACAAACAAGGCACCTTCACCTGGTATATTGTGTTGTCTTATGGTTATATAAAGTTATCACAGCTATAATGCACTTGTTTCATAAAGAAAGCACTTATGGCATATAGGCTTTCAGCAAGTAAGGGAGTTTTTATTTGTGATCTCTGGTTTGAGTCCAGCATCCTAAGGACATTCTGATTTCTAACCCTCACCTGAATCAATATTTAGAAAGTTTGTCAAACTTTGAGAACTTTGCCACTTTCATTCCATGAGCCTGCATGAAGCTCAAGACTTGGCCAGCATTCCACAAAGCCCAAGATTTGGCTGGTACTCAAAGGCTCAGAAAATAAATGAAGATACCCTTGATACTGCAACAGGCTATCTTTTAAATCACCCTGCTGAGATAGAAATCATAGTGAATGCAAATTTGGGTGTAAAACCTTACTGGGTCAGAATGGACACCCATATTGCATAGGTGTAAATAACAACACAAGGTGGAAGGCCTCAGGAGAATCAATGATTTAGTCTTAAATCATTTCACAGCGACTTTTTGTCTTACAAGTTTCTAGCTGAGACAGATCCACTTGTTTGTTTGATCATATGACAACCATCCCATTGAAACTTCATGGCCTGAGTCATTCCAAGGCTTCTGAAAGGAAGGCAGCACTTGGAATAATCAAAAGCCACTGCCATCTGATGACTGTTTAATAGCCTGTGTGCAAGGGGCTCTCTTCCATGCTACACTAGTTATGCACAATTAGTTTTCTGGCCAAAATGTACTGCAGAAAATGGAAGGAATGTTCTGCCCCAGTGGTTGTTGCAGCTGTCTGGCTGTAATGAATTAGCTTACGCGGTTGTTTTTTGCACATCAGAAATCCCCTCCTTAATTCAAAGTTGTATACCACTCACTTACCCCGCAGGTAGGGCATAACAGACCTATAGAGCTTCCCCATATGTCAGGTACAGCTGAGAGGCTGAAGCAGGAAAGGGGTTAAAACAATAAACTGCTGCTGCTTCTTGGAGGCTGTCTCTTTGGCTTGGATAACAATCAGCATCCCACTAAAAATCCCATAAGAGCTCCATTGCCTGTGGCATCATTCTTCTCAGATTCGGATATGTTAACACTAGAGCTGGATCAAACCAAATCATTGCATACACGCAGCCCCCAGTTCTGGGAAAATGAGGTTCTGGATCTGTCTAAGGTACTTACCTGTCCCCCACTACCGTAGTACTTCACTGTCTTCAGTGGATTTATTCTTACACCATTCTTGCAAAGTAGGACAGTGCTGTTGTCCCCATTTTATAGATGGGGAACTAAGTGACTTTTCCAAGGTCACACAGGAAGTCTATAGTAATGCAGGACATTGAATTCAGGTCTCCCTGGCCCCAGCCTAACACCTTAATCAATGGCCCATACTTCCTGTCTCCCTGAAATGGAGCTTCATAGGTAGGCCCTATCTCTATAGCGAGCTAAGCCATAACCCTAGACCTGGTCTGCTGTGAACTCTGGGGCAGGTCAGACCTGGTTCTGAATTTTACAATGTGCGTCTCTTACTTGTGTCAGAGATCATGATGCCACCCCCTCAGCTAGTGTATATTGGGGTAGCGCTCTTAAAGTTGTAGAAGCTGTGCAGATTTGCAAAAGTTGAAGATCTGGCCTGTAGAGTTTTCTTTGCAACCTAGGAGCTTGCTTTTGGTGATGTTCAGCAGAAGGTTGTTAACTCCCAGTGTCCTTGTGTATTGCTGTTCAGGGCACACCAGAGTAGAGGTTCAAGATGGACGGGCTAGCTTTACAAACCTGGCAATCTCCAATTCAGGCTCAAACTGGTACCTCATTTTCACTGTTATTTCACCTCCAGGTAAGGACCATTATATATCTCCACATTGTTCTTGCTTTACCTTAGTCATGGAAAAGTCTTTAAAAGCATATCAGAGGCAACACAGAAAGGAATGAGATCGATGTGTATGCATATCTCAAAGCACTGGTTTCACCTCCCAATGTACTGGAACACAACAGTCAGGGAGTGAGACTGGCAGTCAAAGGCCTGATTCAGGCTTATGCCCTACAAGTCTGGGCCTAGGACCCCACAATCTGGAGTCATGTGATTATATCAGAATCTGAGCCTTCTTTTTTTTTTTTTAAAGTAAGTCTCTTGTCGTGATGGTTGTGAAGAAAAGCTTGGAAACCTGACTTGAGTGAAGCCAACACAGTGTTGTCTGTCTGAGATTGCAGAGAGCCTGAAACAAGAGCTCTGAACTGCCCCATCCCTCTCGGTGCAGTGTTAACTCCAAGACCCACCCTTCTGCAGGGCAGGGGGGCTTGCCAGCACCATCTAGCAGAGGACTCAGTGTTCGTGGCAGGAAGAGGAGAGTGCAGATGGCCCCGTCCGCCCACTGAAGCAGTTGCACCCTGGTTGGTCCTGAGGGAAGAGTTTCTGCTCAGAGGGTCTCAGGTCATGGTGTAGAGGCAGAACCATGGGGAGCCCATGTGATGGTGTGGCCAGGACCTTGGATTGCCTTAATCCAGCTCTATGGCAGCCTGGAATATTTCACTGAAATGTTAAGAAATCACAAATTAGTGTCTAAACATCTCAGGTGTGTAATGGCCCCAGGTTTAGAAAGACTAAATTGTGGTGCATAAAATACTCACCTATGTCTCCTTAAACTGTGAGCATTTGTGCTCTGCTATGGGGTACATTCCTGCAAGTTCCTGAGGACCCTCAGCTCCCACTGCCTGCACTCCCACTGGCATCAGGAGGAACTCCGCTCCCAACAGGCTCTGGACCATAAAGTGGAAGTGTGATATGTTGCAAATTCACTGCAAAAGCTACTGCAGTGAAGTTAGAAGATCTTCCCATTGAATGAAGGTCAAACCTGGATCCCTTTTGTTACACTTTTAGCTAATAAGGACTGTGCTGAGAAATCTTTTCAGACAGCAGCATGAAAAGCTGTTTCATTTTGCATGATCTTTGACTAATTTAAATCAGAATACTGTACATTTTTAACACGCATCATAAAAAATACACTCTGAGTAACATAGATAATTCTGCGTTTTAAATCTCCTTCAGCATTCTCAAGTGGGAACCCTGTTGGAGAGGGTACCGCATGCTGGACATTTATAGCATATGCTTTCTTGGCATCTATGATAAACTAACAAAAAACAAAATTTCCCAGGCACTTGGGATCAAATTGTGTCATTAGTTTTGCATGCGCTGCCTGCCATAATTATTCATGCCCCTCTGACCTCCCTTTTGGATTCCTAGATGGGGCGATCCTTGAAGATGCAGCTGGTGCTGAATGTGGAGGCCCCAACTGAATAGTGGCATTGGTTGGAGAGAGCAGATTATTTCCACGGGCGAGTATGTCTGCACTGCAATCAGAGGTGCGATCATGGCACAGGCTAGCATACATGCATTAGCTTTAATCTAACTAGCGGAGCTAAAATAGCAGTGAAGGTGTAGCCGTATGGCTTCAGTGCAGCTGGCAATGCAAGTATATCCCCAGATGCTTGTACAGCCCATGCTGAAGCCTGCCCCACTGTGTCTTCACTGTTACATTTAGCCATGCTAACTAGATTAAAGCTAGCATGAGTATGCCAGCCACTGCAGTCACCTCTGTGATTGCTGAGCAGACATACCCAGTGTTGCATAAGCTTGCTATTTGCTTCTGGGTATCATTCCCTGTAGTGATATGGGTCTATATGAGCTTGATCCAACTCCCTTTTAAGTCCATGAGAATCTTACTATTGACTTCAATAAAAAGGAGTTGGATCCAGCCCTTAAATTCTGGTTTCATTTGAGTCCTAGATGTCTATACTTCAATCATCCATGGCTGGCCCCTGCCCGATGACTCAGGCTCATGGGGCTGAGGCTAACGGGCTGTTTAATTGTGGTGTAGACATCCAGGCTCAGGCTGCAGCCCAAGCTCTAAGAGCCTCCCACTTTGCAGCGGCCTAGACCCTGGGCCGAATAGCTACATCACAATTAAGCAGCCCCTTAGCCTCAGCCCCGTGAGCCTGAGTCAACTGGCATGGACCAGCCATGAGTTTTTAATTGTAGTGTAGATGTACCTTGAGAAACCTTGATCCACTGTTGCTAAAAGTCCCTATGTGTAAACGTCTGTAGGCCACTTCTGGTCAGTTGCAATTTGCTTGCCACATTGTTCCGATGAAGCCTGAGTTTGTTTAAAGGGACAAGGGCAAGCTGAAATCTAGTCAAGTTCAAATAAAAGTAGTTTCAGGTACTACACCTGCCTTCAAGTCCCCACCTGCCAATGTTTGTGTGTGTGTGTTTTTTAAGTAAATCAGAAAATAAGCTTCTTCGACATTTGTATTGAAAATACAGCTCAGACAAGTACATTAAATAAATCTCCATTAAAGTCAATAGAGTTGCAGATTTGGGATTGATGACAAAATCAGGTTATAACAGGGGGTTGTTTGTTGGCCCAGGTGATCTGGCTAAATTTCAGCCAAGAGATTGCATTCTGCCCACCCAGTTTTGCTTGTGTAGTTTCAACTGGATAAAAAACAGGAGTTCTTGTGGCACCTTAGAGACTAACAAATTTATTTGAGCGTAAGCTTTCGTGGGCTACAGCCCACTTCATCAGATGTATAGAATGGAACATATAGCAAGAAGATAGATAGATATACAGAGAACATGAAAAGGTGGAGTAAGAGGCTAATTAGTTAAGATGAGCTATGATCAGCAGGAGAAAAAAACTTTCGTAGTGATAATCAAAATGGCCCACTTAGACAGTTGACAAGAAGGTGTGAGGATACTTAACATGGGGAAATAGATTCAATATGTGTAATGAAATACACTGGGTAAAGTGATCTTCACATTCTGTTTCATATTCTTGTGCCGCGTCATTGTACATTCCAAAGGAATGCTGCATTTAAGTGGTGGGTGAAGTGGTTCCTAATCAGCTTATAGAATGATATGGTATGTTTGAACAAAGGGTGTTACATACATTGTGTACAAAATGTGACAGTTAATAGTTGCACTAGTAATAGTAATGATAGTCCTACTGCTTGTTTATAACGTTTTAATCAACACTGTGGAGAAGGTTGACAGCACTTTAGGCCCAGTCTGGCAGACCACGTGCTCAACTTTAAGAATGTGAATAGTTCTGTTGAAGACATTCTCAAAGTGCCTTTTGCTGGATCATGGCTTTAAGTCTGATATCCGAGAACAATTTCAAATTTCCGATGATTGGCACTCTGTCAGCTGGGCGGAAACCGATAGCAATAGTTCATGCCTTTAGTCTAGCAGCTTTGTCAGTTCAAGAAAGGTTTGGTTACATGTTCTGTTTGGGCCTGTGGAAGTCAATGGAAAAACTCCCATTGACTTCATTGGGCTGTGATTTAGGCCCTTTCATGAATGTATTTTCAGACATCAGTTCCTGTGTTAGTGGCCATAACCAGGTGTTCTGGCTATAAAACACGTGTTGTAATAAACTGACATTTTCCTCTCTCAGGTGCTGACTTCACTGTCGAGTCCCAGCCATTTACCATCTTCCCTATCCCCATGGGAGAGAAATCCATCACGGTCCTTACTGCTGTGTTGGGCTCAGTGGCTTCGGTGCTAGTTCTGGGTCTTCTTTTATTCTGCTGGTCCAAGAAAAGCCAAAGTAGCAGTAAGTGGGAATCCCCAGGAGAGCTCTCCATCTGCAGAGTCTCTTCCATTTCACTGGTGTCTAAAGAGTAACCCTTAAAGAGTTCCGTAACGATGGTAAGGCAGGCTGGGCTGGTGGTATTGACATTGGTCATATCTCTTGTACACATTGGGCCTGACTCAATGGAACTCAACTGACTCCAGCAGAAATCGTGGTCTCATTGTGCTAGGCACTGTGCATACACGTAATAAGACAGCTAGTCCTTGCCCCAAAGAGTTGACAATCACTGACAAAGGAAGCATTATTATCCCTGCTCTCCAGATGGGCAGCTGAGGCACAGAGAGAGTAATAGCCAGGTTTTCAACTGTGCCAATATTGTCAACACTGTTTTCAGGGGGAACTGCTGAGCGCTTTGGAAAGTCGTATTTCCAAGATGTCATGCAGGGAGCATAGCCAGGAATTGAACACAGGTCTCCTGAATCTTAGCCCAGTGCCGTAAGCACAGGACATCCAAGCAAAGCACTCCACAGCTTAATTGCATGTTGCAGCTTTCTTTTTATCCAAACTGTGCAATTTTAAAAATCAGATCAGGCCATATTCTCCTCTCCCTTGTACTGGTGTAGTGGTACTGAAGTCAGTGGGAGCTCAGCACCTTTGAAATTCCAAATTCTAAATTAGGATTTAGAAACCTAATTTTAGGCTCCTATTTTTTTTAATCTTGGCCCCTGTATTTCCCTGTATTTATAATAGGAAATAATGAAGCAACTCACTGTGGTGTGGCAAATATAAAGGCCCAGGTTGTAACGTAAGGATGCTTTCTACCTTGTGGCCCTAAAACTGGCATAGCTTCAGGAGGAGTGCCCCAGAGCAGAAATATCCTCGGGTGGAGAGTTGCCAGTGTAAGAGGAATGGCTGGAGAGAAACAGAGCATGGCCAGGAGGACTTTTCTGAATGCCAGCAGTCCCCAGATGCTCTCATAGTCAGATGGCATAATTTAGAGCGGCCTTCAAAGTGTGCTAACCTATGCTGGGGAACTATTCCAGTATGCAAATAGCTCAGGAATGGGGAAGCACAAAAATGGTTGAATGCCTCACTCCTGAGTTGCACTGTGTAGTAGCCTTGGCTGTGACCAGCCTGAGTTTCTAATGATGCCCAGTGTATACTGTGAGGATCTGAAGGCAGAGTTTTGCTGAAGTGAAGAAATGTGATCCCTAGAGGTAAAATGCAATGAAGTGTAATCATAAAATAAGCCTCCCCCTTTTGGGCAGAGAGAACGCACACAAGATTAGATGCCAATTCACCAGCAATAGATTGTTTCTTAAAGTAATACTATGTCTGGCTCTGAGCCCTGGATGGACTGAGAATAATGTAACTGTTTATTTCAATACAGAAACAAAGATTGAACAGGCTAAGGTACCACAAGCAAAGAGCAATATGAAATCCTCCCAGATCCCGCCACAGCAGCATTCAACTCGTGCCGATCTGCACCATGCCCGGGAAGAGAACAAAAGAGACACTGCTGGGATGGAAGGAGGTGAGCCTGCAGAATGAGAATGACTCACATTTCTAAAGCCCCTTTCAACCAAAAAGATCTTCACGCACCTTACAAGCTATGAGCTTGTGTAGATTGAAGTTGTAATTTTGCCAGTTAAGGATCTGGTCTAGATAGATAGATGAATCACTTGCTCCATTAATAGAGCTGATTACTACAAATGAATTCTCTCTCTGAACTGAAAAATGTACAGGAGAGTAAATGTGTGGTTCAATTTTTAAATGTCTATAGAATTTATGAATTGAACGGTGTCAGGATTTCACCCAATGTCAGTTTTTGCCACTGATTTCAATGAGGCCAAGATATTTGTTTTATTTTTTTAAATCCTCAGTTTCCAAGCTTCTCTTCCAAAATTGAAGAGAAAACATTGCTTAAATATGGTTATAGTCAGAAAAAAGGCCATGTTAAAATGCTTCATTTGCTCAAACAGTGTGTTGCATGTGTTTTCATATCATTCCTGTTTATGTTATTGGCAAAACTGACATGTGAGTGACAGAATCAGCCTATATTGGCAACAGATAGTCCTGATGGGCACCGTGTTCCAGAAAATCAATTGCAAGGGGTCACTTTTGAAGTGAGACTCTTGGCAAAATGGTAACTGTAACAATGACATTTTGGGGTTCCTTCTATCTTGGTACTTTGACTCCCATCACCATAGTATGTTTACAAAAAGAAAAGGGGTACTTGTGGCACCTTAGAGACTAACCAATTTATTTGAGCATAAGCTTTCGTGAGCTACTGCAGCTCACGAAAGCTTATGCTCAAATAAATTGGTTAGTCTCTAAGGTGCCACAAGTACTCCTTTTCTTTTTGCGAATGCAGACTAACACGGCTGTTACTCTGAAACCTATTGTATGTTTAGTCCCTCTCAAATAATCCAGACCAAATCTGTTCCATTTACAAGTCAAAAATAAACCTACCTGAAAAAGGTCAGCCTGGATCTGAATATCAGTATTATTTACTCTCTTTAGCACTGTCAATGTGCTCAGCAATTACAAGTTATAAACATTGTGACAATCCCTGCCCCAAAGAGATTACAGTCCCAGTTCCCTTTGAGTGATGGTGCTTAGGCCACACCCCTCTGCTCAGCATTTTCTATTGGTTGGTTTAGATGGCTCCCCACTCAGTACGCTGGCTTCTGTGAATCCCGCTCTCAGATGTGTATCTCTCCCCACGCATTGTGTAGGGAGCTTGGGCCCCTAAACCGGGGTTCTGAATGCTACTCGGTAGCAAGGTGCCTAAAACTTAGGTGCTGCAGTGCTGAGCCATTGCAGGGCCTAAGTGCCTTTTGTGAATCTAGCCCTTAGGTTCCTAAATCTCATAAAAATCACTAAAATGGGACTTGGGCTCCTAAGTGCCTACAGGTACATCTACACTTCCGGCTGGAAATATAATTCCCTGATCGAGGATACATAACTGCATGAGCTCTGATCAACCTCGCGTACTAAAAACAGAAGTGTAGCTGCAGCCATGCAAGCAGTGGGAGTGGCTAGCAGTGGGAGTACGTGCCTAGCACTTCGGATGGGTATATATTTGGGGTGGCTGGTCCTTCCCGCTGCTCGAGCCACTGCCGCTGCAGTCTGTTTTTACAATACTAGTTTGATCAGAGCTAGAGTGAGTACGTCTCTGTGCTGGGAATTACATCCCCAGTTGAAGTGTGCACATGCCTGAAATTGCTTTTGAATCTGGGATGTAGGCTTCTAAGTCACGTAGGTGTTTTTAACAGATTTACCAATAGCTGGATGTTGGAGATTACTGACTGATGCTACTGCTGATTGGCTAGGAATTGTGCACACAGCTAGTTTATGGGTCCAGGATAAGGGCAGGGCAAAAATTTTTTTACCAAAACTTCTTTCGGGTGAAAAATGAAGATTCAGTGACACTGACATGTTTCACAAATATGTGTTGGTTTCACCAAATTGTTTGTTTAGAAAACAAAAACAATGTATGCAACCTTCAACATTTGATTTCAACATTGACAAAACATTTTGAGTTTTTAAAATATTTCCTTTACTTTTATTTTTTTTAATTCAAAAACATTTTGAAATGGTCAAAATCAAAATGAAAGATTTTGTTTGAGCCAAAACAAAAATTTTTCTCAGCTTTTCAGTTTGCTGATTTTTTTTTAAATTTATTTTCAGCCTGACCCAAAACAGATTTTTGTGACCCTTTTTCAACATCGCCAGTGAGCTAAAAATATCAGTAATTTGCCCAGCCATAGCCATGATTTCACCCTTTGTCATTTAGACTGGGACAGGGACTGCTATTTACTGGATGAATTCTCTCTCTGAACTGAAAATTTTCAGGAGAGTAAATGTGTGGTTCAGTTTTTAAGTGTCTATAGAATTTATGGGTGAAATCTTGACCCCATTCAATTCAGTGTCCGTTTTGCCAATGTCAGTTTCGTAAAGTGCACAGCACAAGCGGGCCCCAGCCTGTTCCAGGCTTCTCCATGCTACTGCAACGTAAGTGATTAGCAATAATAGAACATATGTATAGCTAGTATACACTAATCATAAAGCACTCTAGGAACTTTCAGGATGAAAGCCATTGTTACCAAGGTAAGTTAATTTGGGGATGATTACTCTAATATGCATCTTGCATACTTCTGAGTGAGTCAGGGCACATTTAAGCTGTCCACGCCAGACCCATTCACTGCTGTCGCTTTTCTGTAGGCCTTTTCATGGTTGAATGTTTTGACCAGCTATATAAAACCACAAGTCAAAAAGCAGTCTCATTCGCTTGTTTTTCCTTGCTTTGCTCCTCTAGCATTTTTGTGGGGTGGGGTAATCTTTTCTCATAATGATTTACTGATCAAACACAACTCCCTCTGAGGTCACAGCCAAAGCAGAGACATTTAGGGCCGTGCAGCTGGCACCGGGCTCCACCAAACAGCAGAAAGTATTGGCTTCCACCTTTACAAACTTGGATGGGCTCCTCCAGCTGTCGCCTGCTAAGAGCAAAGATCGGAGTCCATTTCTCAGCCCATCCTGGAACCCTGAATGAACCACACATGTATTCGGTCACTGGCATTTTTTCTATCTCCTCCCCTAAATTTTGTGGATTGCATAAGAGGCTAGTTTGAGTTTCGTCTTCATATTTTAATTAGTGTCCATCACAAAAGCAGAACAGAGAGAGAGAGGAAATGCTGCAGTTTATATGTTTTGATATTTGCCATACTTCTCCAAAATACAGCATTCGTCTGTGTGCCTTAGGATACATATAAATTCATTTTTTATCTAATTTGTCTGAGATCTAAGCTTCCTGTGGAGGTCTGAGATCAAAGGATCTGATTCCGTCTGATGTCGGCTCTGACACATAATGTGTGCTGACTTAGTTCTGTCTATAAACTCGCAGTGGGAGGCTGCCATATTCCCTTGGCCCCTTTACATAGTGAACTTTCATTTCAGCTGGGGAGGCTGACAGATACAGTGTTGACTGGAGCCATCGTGTAAATAATTCATGGAGAGATTTTTGTCAGAAAAAGGAAATCCAGCCACTTACCGTCTTTTAGGAATTGTTGCAAGACAAAGAGATTCCCTGATATGTTCAAACCTAAACAAGGATAACGATATCTTATGCGAATTTAATGTGTGTGACTTGAAATGCCTAATGTTTGATTTCCCCTTATTTAAAATAATGTTGGTTTTGGAGCGAGAGACAATCAAAGCTACAGTCATTTTTGTTTAGTTTCTGCCTTACATTTTTTTCCCTGTGAAAAAATCCCATATTTCTAATCCAATGAGATTTTTGGGATCTTTATTATTATTTCTCTGATAATGAATGTTAGGGGGCTTATTCCTTCACCCACTTACTTCCCTGGTCCTTCTCGCATGAACAGAGAGCAACAATACCCGAACTCCAAAGGTGCAAACAATTCAATGTTTATTGGGGTGAACTTCCAGCAAGCATGATTCCAGTTTGCTTCCTTAGTGTCCCCCGTCCCAGCTCTGACACTACAGAGCCTTACCTATGGCCCTGTTCCCATTCCTGCCCTTAGCTAAACATGATTCCAATTTCCCCACCCCCATTCCCTGTTCCCATTTCACTCACACACACACACACACTTGTTAGTCTCTAAGGTGCCACAAGTACTCCTTTGCTTTTTGCGAATACAGACTAACACGGCTGCTATCTGAAACTTCCTGATTGACTGCAGACTATATAGTAAAACTTGAGTTCTGCTTAGCTATACCTTAAGCAATCATTTTACTGAAATTTAACTAACCAGTCCTAACATATTGTAACATGATTATTTAACCAAATATATCCCACCACCTTAATTAGTTTACACCCAGCAAAATTAATTATACAGCAGACAGAAACAATCACAGAACCAGACAAAGATTATGCAGATGAACAACAGGGAAATGGGGACTACAGTGATAGAATAACAAAGAAATGAGGATTTCACATCCCAGCTATTGATAAGTGAGTTCTTGCCAGACAGGATGCTATCAAACTAAGTTTCCTTTTACATCTGCTAGGCACTTCCCTTTCTCTGGAGGCATAGGCATTATCAGTACAGGATTGTATTCCTAGCAGCCCAATAGCACATTCTTTCAATGTGACTAGTTTGCAATGTGAGGATGTGACCGGTCGCTTCCCAGCTTATGGCTGCCTCTGCTGCTTAGCCAAAGGCCTTAGCCTAAGCACAGGGCCTCAGACTGTCATAGTAAGAGAAGGACCTTACACCAGCAGACAGTGATTTTGATTCTTTTTATACCTCTATAACTAGCTAAGTGATAAGAATACACCTAAATTCTTAGAGTATAGGCCTTTACAGACAGGCCTGAATATCTATATCCTAACAATGAATACGACTCAAGATTACAAGATCTTATGGGTAGAGACCATCTCTTTGTTATATATTTGTACAGGGCCCAACACAATGGTACTGGGGCCTGTCAAGGTTCCTCCCCCACTCTGAACGCTAGGGTACAGATGTGGGGACCTGCATGAAAACCTCCTAAGCTTATCTTTACCAGCTTAGGTCAAAAAGTTCCCCAAGGTACAAAATATTCCACCCTTTGTCCTTGGATTGGCCGCTACCACCACCAAACAAATACTGGTTACTGGGGAAGAGCTGTTTGGAAATGTTTTTCCCCAAAATACTTCCCAAAACCTTGCACCCCACTTCCTGGACAAGGTTTGGTAAAAAGCCTCACCAATTTGCCTAGGTGACTACAGACCCAAACCCTTGGATCTGAGAACAATGAAAAAGCATTTAGTTTTCTTACAAGAAGACTTTTAATAGAAATAGGAGTAAATAGAAGTAAAGAAATCCCCTCTGTAAAATCAGGATAGTAGATACCTTACAGGGTAATTAGAATCAAAACATAAAGAATCCCTCTAGGCAAAAACTTAAGTTACAAAAAAGATACACAGACAGAAATAGTTATTCTATTCAGCACAATTCTTTTCTCAGCCATTTAAAGAAATCATAATCTAACACGTACCTAGCTAGATTACTTACTAAAAGTTCTAAGACTCCATTCCTGGTCTATCCCCGGCAAAGGCAGCATAAAGACAGACCCACAGACCCTTTGTTTCTCTCCCTCCTCCCAGCTTTTGAAAGTATCTTGTCTCCTCATTGGTCATTTTGGTCAGGTGCCAGCGAGGTTACCTTTAGCTTCTTAACCCTTTGCAGGTGAGAGGAGTTTTCCTCTGGCCAGGAGGGATTTTAAAGGGGTTTACCCTTCCCTTTATATTTATGACAGGGCCTTACGGAGTGCGACAATACTGATGATGATGGTGTGTATACCAATAGATTCTAGGCCAAAGAGGACCAGTAGATCATCTGGTCTGACCTCCTGTATAAGACAGGCCATTAAATTTCATCCTTACCCCTGTATTGTGCTCAATAACTTGTGTTTGACCAAAGCACGATTTCCTGACCTGAAGACATCTAGAGATGCAGAATCGTCACTTCCCTTCTCTCACCGCTAAAATATTATGCCTTATTTCTAATTTAAATGTGTCTTGCTTCAGCTTCCAGCCAGTTTCTCTTTATTTACCTTTCTCTGCTAGATTGAAGAGCCCTTTAGTGCCCAATATTTCTCCCCATGAAGTTACCTATGAACTGTAATCAAAGTCACCTCTCAGTCTTCTTTTTGAGAAGTTAAACAGACTGAGTTCTTTTAAGTCTCTCACTGGAAGGCATTTCTCCAGCCCTTGAATCATTTTTATGGTTCTTTTCTGCACCCACTCCAATTTCTCAACATGTTTTTTTATGGTGCGCACCAGAGCGGCATGCATTATTCCACTATCCCATTCAGCAATGCCAAATAGAGCAGTAAAATCATCTCCCTGCTCCTATTCACTACTCCACTGTTTATACATCCAAGGATTTAATTAGCCACTTTGCCACACCATTGCACTGGAAACTAGGTCCACTATGATCCCTAAATCCTTTTCAGAATCACTTTTTCCAAGGGTGCACTCCTCTGGCCTAAAGTATGGCCTGCATTCCTTGTTCCTAGATGTGTAACTTTCCACTGAGCTGTATTAAAAGAAAATGCATTGTCTGAATGATTCCCCCTTGCAGGCAATTCAGCTTGCTCTGTGTGACTGCCCTATCCTTGTGATTATGTACGACTCCACCAAACTTTGTGTCACCCACAAATTTTATCAGCACTGATTTTAAATTTATTCCCATTTATTGATGAAAGTGTTGGACAGTGTCGGGATTCGTACCAATCCCTGCAGAACCCTCTAGAAACACCCCATTTGATGGCAATTCCCTGTTGGTAACTATATTTGGAGATCTGTCAATTCACCAGTTCTTAATCAATTTATCATGTGCTTTAGTGATAGGGAATAATGGTCATTTTTTAATCAGAATATCATACGGTACTAAATCTTACAAAAAAATGTAAGTCCTATTTCATCTACGCAATTACCTTTATGAACTAAACTTGTAATGCCCTCAAAAAATGAGATCAGGTTTGCTTGACAAGACCTGTTTGGCATAAAAGAGATAAGGACATCGCCAGTCTGAAAAGAACTTGATATAAATCAAATACAGCATAAGGACTTAACTATATGAAGAGAACATGCACCAGTGTTCTATATCACTACGGACCCCTCTATATCACTACGGACCCCTAATGTTTTCTCTCTGTACCAGGTCTTACACTTCTCTATTTATGTACTTCTATGGCTTCCTTCATTGTAACTAGATTTCATCCTCACTACAGCCCTGGGAGATAGGGAAGCGCCAGTATCCCCATCTTCACTATTGAAAGGTTCTGTGGGGACACGTGGCCGCCCCCTGTGTTGCCTCTGCCTCCGCCCCCTGAAACTTGAACCGTAGGTAGACAACATACACCAGCAATTACCTCCTCCTCCTGGTCTTTGTCTTGTGACTGGCCAGCCCCTTCAGAGCTCACAGACCCGTCCCCCGCCTGAACTATCCCGAATCGATTTAGCAAGGGTTCAAAACAAGACCAACAAAAGGAGCAACCCAGTTGGGATGCACCATCCCCCATTTGGCACCGGGATGGTGCTTGGGACTGGATCATCTCAGTTAACAAGAGGCTGGAGAATGATCAGTCATTTTTTGTTGGACCCTATGTTATGACACCCTAAATTGCATTCTTCCTTATAGGCATATTGGCAGCTGCTGCTGTTTCAGTGCACCCCTACCACCACCCCTTTCCCACTCTCCCGCTTTCCCCACAGCCTTCTTCCCTCACTCACCCCCAGGACTCTCAGGCTGGATGGGGATCCACCAGAGCTACCTGGCGCTGAGCACCCCGTCACAGCTCACCTTCCCAGTCTTGAAGATGTCCCCTTGACTCACCTCCGCAAGCAGTCTACAAAGCAGACAGTGGGAAGTGCTAAGACTCCAGCAGCAGGGAAAGAGAAGCAGCCCGGTGTAGCCCGGAGGGGTGGTGGTTAGGAGCTCAGCCCACAGCCAGCCGCCCTGCTGCTTCCTTTTTCCCCATGCCACATGGACACAAAGGGAGTGCCACCACCCAGGGGAGGCACTGTCTCCTTACTGCTGGGCATCCTGGCAGGAGGCATACTGAGAAATCTGGGGGGCACGTAACCCCCCCCCACATGCATCACCGCTGGTCCCTGACAATCTAACCTGGGGGAAAATCCTTCCCAACCCCAAATCTAGCAACCATTTAGACCTTGAGCACATGTTCAAGACCCACCAGCCAGGCATCTACGGCGATGTTCTGTACCACCTCAGAGCATTGGCCCACCTTGCTTGGTGTCCCATCTCCAGCTGTGGCCAGTCTCTGATGCTTCAGAGGAAGGCTAACTCCCCTTCCCCTTCTGAATACATCTGGCAACTGTGCATCAGGGTTAAAAGTCCTTCCTGCCCTTGCAGGTTCCTGGTTGACATCTTGAAACATGAGATTCGATTGCAATCACTGTGTTAATGCTGCGCTGCAAAGGTTATAAGCACGCTGAAAGCAATGCAACAGAATATTACAGGTTTCAGAGTAGCAGCCGTGTTAGTCTGTATTCGCAAAAAGAAGAGGAGTACTTGTGGCACCTTAGAGACTAACAAATTTATCTGAGCATAAGCTTTCGTGAACTACAGCTCACTTCATCGGATGCGTTCACCTAGAAGCTCCAACAAAGATAGGGACCTCATTGTGCTAGGCACTGTATAAACATATAGAGAAGGGCAGTCCCTGTCCCATGCACGTTGCAACCTAAATAAACCAAAGGGGAGAGGGGAAGCAGATGCACAGGGAGGGGAGCCAGATGCAAAGTCAGATGAAGTGAGTTGCCCAAGGCCACACAAATGAGTTGCCCGTGGTCAGGGGCAGAGCTTGGACTAGAAACAGCGTCTTCTAACTCCCAGTCCAGTGCCCTTTCCCCAACCCTACTGGCTCACCTCGTGGCATCAGGATCACGTTTTCTCAGTTTACAAAATAAAACAATGATTTTTCTTCCTGCCAGCCCTGCAAACGCAGGGTCCACTCTTACAGCACTTACTCCAGCAAAGTTGCTATTGACTTCAGCAGGAGCTTTACCGGAGGAAGGACTGCAAGACTCTGTCTGTCACCTGGGATGTGAAAAGCACGCTGGGCTCTTCCTGCGTCTTCCATCATCATCAGTTACCAAGACTCTGCAGATGGAGCTTGCTGCCAGTGGTACATTAGGTGGGACTGAATCCGTAGCCGTGCTAGCTCGGCAGTGTTAAGGAAAGTGGTGGCATGGCTTTATCAGTAAAGTAAGCAGATGTCACCTGGAGCAGGTGAAATGAGACTAGGGACTGGTCTATTCTAACGCTGTAAATCGATCTAAGTTACACTAGCTCAGTTATGTACGTTACCAAACTGAAGTCGAGGTAACTTAGCTTGACTTACGGCGGTGTCTACACCACGCTATGTCGACGGGAGATGCTCTTCCGTTGACATAGCTTCCGCCTCTCAGGGAGGTGGAGTACGGACAATGACGGGAGAGCGCTCTCCCATTGATTTAGCGTGTCTTCTCCAGACCCGCTAAATCGACACCGCTGCATCGATCACAGCAGTGCTGATTTAGCGGGTCGTGTAGACATGGCCTAGATCTGCATCAGAAGCATATACCTGGATTGTTTGTTTATTTATTTTGCAAAGATTTTAGCAACTGTATAAAGTACTCAAAATAAGAGTAAGAAGCAGCCTGCCTGCATGCACCCCAATGCAGGATTGGAGCTTTAGAAGACAATGTCAGCTCAAAAGTCGTATGTTGTCACAAAACCAGTTGCTTTACCTCTGTGCCTGATAATGCTTCAGGTTATTAAGAATGCTTACTTTTTGCATTTTCCGCTTTGGATAATGAAAATCAATGATACCCGGTTTCACGTTTGTGTTTTCAGTCAACATTACTTTTGTTTTTCAATCATTTTCTTTTTCATGTCCCCCGTGCTGCTTTGTCTGAGTTCCAAACACTGCAGGGGGAAAAGGGTCATGCTTTATAGTAAGCTTCCATTTAGAAATGGCTCACAAAGGGTTAATACATTATTAATAGCTGCATGCTACAGACATGAATACTATGTGTTACGGGTGGTCATAAGCAACCTATTAACCTGTTGAACTCCATACCAATCTTTATCCAACATCTGTTAATCAATGATTAACCTTTTATAATCTATCTGTGAATGGCACCTTCATATAAAATGTGAGGAAAACTGTTGTCATATGAATAATTTTGTGTTACGTATGGAGATATTTAATTGCTGGTATGTTTTATATCAATATATTTTTACAACTTGCTTATAAGGGGTTAATAGATGACTAATAGATATGCAATATATATTTAAAAATTGTTATAGAGTCTACTAATTAAAGTGCAATTTCCCCTTTAACAGTCATTTTCCAGTGACCACCACACTTCAGTTAGCAAAAGGCTCTAGAATGGGCAGAGACATAAACAGGAAGGGAAGAAAAAGACAGGGACCTACTGGTAAGGTAAAGAGTAAAGGGATTTTCTCTTTCAGATATAGAAGCAAATGGAGTACCAGGAAACACAACGAGACAGATAAAGGAGTTGCACCAACAGACAGTTAAAGCCAGGTCAATGCAGAAGATAAGTCCTGTTGAACATAAAAGGACGAGTAGAAAGAACTTATCCCTGGCTAGGAAACATGACAGCAGCCATCCATTACATGGAAGAACAGCTCTGTGGGGTTCTCTGGAACTTCAGCAGCGTGGTGCCAAGGAGTTCTGTGACTGGAAGGATACCCATCAGCAGCAGTTTGCTTGCACCCACGGAAAAGAGATGGGAGGAGTAGAGCCTGTTCCCCAGAATGTGAACAGAGAGAGGCAGGAGACGGCTGTGGGATCTTGAGGAGATGTGTAAGGGAAAGGATGAGCTGTGGTACCATCAACATGAAACATTTTCTGGGAGGAAATCCAATGGAACATAGGAACCTGAGACTCTTCTTCCACTGGTGTGGTCAGAAAAAGCATATTAGCACTGGACACTTGCAAACACTTTAGGATAGTTAACAGCGAAGACATGTTCTTAGTGGTTAAAGCAGTAAATCTGATCTGTCCATCGTTTGTTTTCCCGCTCTCCTTAGTCCCTGATTTAGCAAAGTACTTAAATCCATCACTAGTCAGAAAAGCAGGTGCATATGTACCACTTCATTGTGGCTTAAGCATACGCTTAAGTACTTTCCTGAATAGAGATGGATCTAAGCAATGGCTTAAAACTCAGAAGGTGCTCTGTTGAATTAGGGCCTTACCCTGTGACCCCTTCAGGTCAGCAGCCTTCCCTTCCTGAATGTTTGGAAATGCCTAGCACATCGTGACCATTGCCATTATTGTTAATAATAATGAACTGGGAGGCTGGTCTGTTTCATAGATTCTAAGCCTAGAAGGTACCATTGTGATCATCTAGTCTGACTTCCTTTATAACACAGGTCATAGGACTTCCGTGAAATAATTTCCTTTTTGAAGTAGAGTATATCTTTTAGAAAAAACATCTTGATTTAAAAGTTGCCAGTGATGAAAAATCTACCACATTTCTTGATATGTTGTTCCAATGATTAATTACGCTCACTGTTAAAAAAAATTACGCCTTTTTTCCCATCTGGACTTGTCTCACTTCAACTTCCAGCCATTGGATCTTTGTTATACTTTTGTCTTATAGATTAAATAGCCTATTATCAAATATTAGTTCCCCATGTAGACACTTACAGACTGTGTTCAAGTCACCCCTTAACCTTCTCTTTGTTAAACAGATTGAGCTCCTTGAATCTATCGTGAAAAGGCAGGTTTTCCAATCCTTTCATCATTCTCATGGCTCTTCTCGGACCCCTCTTCTGGTTTCTCCTCCTGAGTGACTCTCTACAATGGGTCACTGGAATTCTCTGTCCCTCTCTTTACTGAGCTGTAAAATGGGGAGTGTTAATACTTGCCTCCCTCAAAAGAGGGTGGGGAGACTTTATTATGGCACCACAGGATCCTTGGGTGAAGGGTGCTCTGCAAGCACAAGATGTTATTTCCATTCATCTATAGAACAGGTCCAGCATGTGCTTGTGTCATGGCTGCCATTTGGGCCAACACCAGGGATTAAAGTGGGGACCTCTAGAACTGAAAACACAAGAGTCTCCAGCTTATGCTAAAGAGCCAGCTTCAGGGATGCTGACCAGGAGGCAGAGGCAGCTCGTCCCAAGCGTCTGAGATTCACAGCAGTTCAAATTCCAGACAAGGCCCAAGTTATGTGACCGCAGCCATTTTGCCTGGCACAGTAGGGACTGAATCATGATGAAAGCATCAGTGTGTAGAGCTCTTTCTCAAGAGTGAGGTTTTGGATCAGTCTGCTGCTCTGTGGACCGGGCGCAGAAGGTTACTCAGAGCACGCAGTGGCCAGTGAGTTACACTTTCCCACATAAGCCCTTCTACTCTGCCTCTGTCCTGCTCCATAGAGACTCTGTCTGGTAGTGAGAGAATGATTCATTCACCATGTCCCCTCAGTCAGTGGCCTGTCCGCTAAGACTAAATGCCAGCTCCTGCCTACCAGCACATTTCATATAGCCTATTGAAAAGCCATCAGAGGGTAACAACCTTCAGTACTGTCACTGCCAGTCTCAGCTGGATTCAAACCCGATCACCTTAGCCATGAAAGGATTCTGTCATTGTGCACATAGACCCCATTCTACCATGGCCACTAAGGGGTTAACAGGAAGGCTAGCTATCTCCTCAGCATTGGCTAACTGCTGGTCCAGGAACAGCTGGGGGATCTGAAGGCTGCAGAGGAGAGGAGGGAGGGACCATTCAGAGGAGATGCCTTCAGCACCAGACAGCTGGACTTCCAGGCATGGAGAATCAAAGAATGTGAGTCTGGAACAGGTCTACAGGAGAGGAAAGGTAGGAAGCAGTAAGACTGTGAGGAACTGTCCCAGCTGCTTAATGCAGGTTCCCTGGGGTGGATCACAGAAGAGTGGGTGGGCCCGGGTTCCTCTATCCTCTCCTGCAAAGGAGATAGTAAAACCCCTAAGACTAAGGGGATCAGGACTGTTAGAGGGCTTTCCCTCCACTCTCCCACTTCCCTGGTTCTTGTCATGCCGACAGCAAGCAGCAAAAGACTAGAAGGCCGAAGCGCAGGCAATGCAATGTTTATTGGGGTTAATTTCCAGCAAGCATGATTCCAATTTTCCCACCCACTTCCTGTTTGACCCCAGTTTATAGCGTAATAGTCTCAGCTATACCTTAACCAATCATTTTTCTGAAATCTTATCTAGCCAATCCTAACATATTGTAACATAATTCTCTAACCAATTATATCCCACTACCCTAATTAACCTAGCAAAATTAATTATACAGCAGACCGAAGCAATTAGAGAACCAGACAGATTAAAAATAGAAAAGTGGGGGCCATAAAGGTAAAACAATACAGAAATGAGGGTTTCACAACCACAACCATTGATAAGTGATTTCTTGCCAGACAGATTTCTTGCTATTAAACTAAGCTTTCTTTAACCATTTTCTTTATCTGGTGGTGATGGGCGCTATCAGAACAGGATCATCTTCCTAGCAGCCCAATAGCACCTTATTTCAGTGTGACTAGTTTGGAATGTGAGGATGTGACCGGTCGCTTCCCAGCTTATGGCTGCCCCTGCTGCTTAGCCAAAGGCCTTAGCCGAAGAACAAGGCCTCAGACTATCCTAGAGAGAAGGCCCAGACAGAGGCGGACTTGTGATTTTAATTCTTTGTTTTATACCTTTATAACTAACTAAGTGAAAAAAAATACACTGAAGTTCTTGAATTATAGGCCTTTACAGGCAGGCCTGAATATCTGTATTCTAACAAAGACACCGCAGAGGCTTGGGATTCTCAACCCTTTGCTAGGGTCATTGAACTCCTGGTCTATCAGACACTATTGGCCTGGAAGGGGAGAAACTATAAATGACTTGTCGGCGGGAGTTAGAAGAAGAAGCCGCTCGGAACATGGCCAAGCAACTGTTGGTGGACTGTGGGGGGGGGGAGAAAGTGAGGCAGAGATGCTGTTACACCTTTAACATCCATGAGAGGGTGCTGGCTAGCAGAGATCTCCCTAGATGGATCCCCAATGCGCGGCCATGCACACCCTCACATTGTATTATTTTCACTAGGTGAGACTAGAAGAGGCTTAAGAGTGCCCAGGTTGCTACTGGACTTTGATGGTCACTAGCCATAAAGGAAATAGAGCAAATGGAAGCAACTGAGCTAGAAGCAGGTGCTAACTCTGCCCAGGGTCAGTCCAAGTCATCTAGGATTCTAGAGCTGGCCCCTATTTTTACAGAAAGGCCCACACGTGGTCCTGGCCCCTCCTGTATGTCTCCTCTGAAAGAAGACCTTTACCAAAGCACCATGGCCTCCTTAGGATCATGTTGGGGCGCTGGTTCAGGATTGGGTCAGAGAACAGTCAGTCACATGTAGACTCACCAACACTCGCTCCTGCACTACCCCGGGTTCATAGTTTCATCAGGACAGATTCTCAGCTGGTGTAAATCAATGTAGCTCCCAGGTATCCCAGCTTTACAAGGGAAGAACTGAGAGATTAATAGATGTATCCAAAGTCACACAGGAAGTCTGTGGCAGAGCTTGGAAATGAACCCAAATATCTTGAGTCTTAGCCCAGGGCCTTACTTTGAGGAGGAAGGATGGTCCAATGGTTCAAGTACTAGCCTGGGTTGTGGGAGATCCAGGTGGAATTCCTGCTGTGCCCCAGACTTCCTGTGCGTAATCTTGCGCAAGTCACATAGTTTCTCTGTGCCTCAGTTCCTCAGCTGTAAAACAGGTATAATAGCCCTGCCCTGCCTCCATGGGAGTGTTGTGAGGATACATTTATTACAATCTGAGTCGCTTAGATACTATGGTGATGGGGGCTATACAAGTACTTAGCATAGATAGATAAGATCATGCTTCCTCTCATTGACTCACAATCTGTGGTATCTGCATTTATGATATGCCCTTCATTATGTTATCTTAGCACTGTGCACATAAATAAAAGTACCATTGAATTCTGTGCAAACACATCCACTTTCTGTGCTTGCCTTTTGCCCCATTAATTTTTGGTGTGAGTGAGTATATAGGGGGGAAATGCAGGGAAAAAGGAGAGACCCATGAGGAGCATCAGTGGAGAAGGGAGGTGGGAAGGAAGAGGTTCCACCGAAGGGAATGCTGAAAGAACGGTGAGCGAGGGAGAAAGAGAACCAGAAAAGGACAAAGTCACAGCAGCCAAAAGAAAAGGGAGTCTCAAGAAAAGCACCAGCCATGGTGTCAAAGGCATCATGGAAAATGAGAATAGAGGGAGAACCTTAGACTTGGAAGGAAGAGGAAGCATCATTAGAGACTTCTGGGAGGGCAGTCTTGGTGGAATGGAGAGGACAAATGCCAGATTGGAGCAGATGCAGGAGTGAGTCGGAGGAGGCAAGACCAAAGCACTGAGGAGAAACCAGCCCACTCATGAAGCATGGGAAGGAGGAAGATGTGGGCAGAGGAAGAGAGGAGCAGGGAAGAGTTAAGTTTTCTGTCGAGTCGGAAAACAAAAGCCAGCCTGACCAGAGGGGAGAGCTGGGAGGTGATTGGGTTGCACAAGTTGAGGTGTTGGGTCTGGAGGGGATGGGTCAAGTTGAGGTGTTGGGTCTGGAGGGGATGGGTCAAGTTGAGGTGTTGGGTCTGGAGGGGGATGGGTCAAGTTGAGGTGTTGGGTCTGGAGGGGATGGGTCAAGTTGAGGTGTTGGGTCTGGAGGGGGAGGGTCAAGTTGAGGTGTTGGGTCTGGAGGGGGAGGGTCAAGTTGAGGTGTTGGGTCTGGAGGGGATGGGTCAAGTTGAGGTGTTGGGTCTGGAGGGGGATGGGTCAAGTTGAGGTGTTGGGTCTGGAGGGGATGGGTCAAGTTGAGGTGTTGGGTCTGGGGGGGGGAGTTGAGGTGTTGGGTCTGGAGGGGGATGGGTCAAGTTGAGGTGTTGGGTCTGGAGGGGGATGGGTCAAGTTGAGGTGTTGGGTCTGGAGGGGGATGGGTCAAGTTGAGGTGTTGGGTCTGGAGGGGATGGGTCAAGTTGAGGTGTTGGGTCTGGAGGGGATGGGTCAAGTTGAGGTGTTGGGTCTGGAGGGGGATGGGTCAAGTTGAGGTGTTGGGTCTGGAGGAGATGGGTCAAGTTGAGGTGTTGGGTCTGGAGGGGATGGGTCAAGTTGAGGTGTTGGGTCTGGAGGGGATGGGTCAAGTTGAGGTGTTGGGTCTGGAGGGGGAGGGTCAAGTTGAGGTGTTGGGTCTGGAGAGGGATGGGTCAAGTTGAGGTGTTGGGTCTGGAGGGGGAGGGTCAAGTTGAGGTGTTGGGTCTGGAGGGGGATGGGTCAAGTTGATGGAAGATTGTGAAGTGAGGTTCAAGTATCTCCAGTACAGGGAATTCCATTATCAGAGCCAATGGCCTTCTCTGTACTAGGACTTTCCCTCTGTTGCAGCCCTAGTGTAGACAAAGTGCCAGCACGGTTTTAGGCTCTTTTGGAAATTTAAGCTTAGGAGAGCTAGACACCCCCTGCCATTGAATTTTAATGGGAGTTGGGCAGTTAACTCCTTTGACAATCCCAGCCTCAAGCACCACAGCCTGCTCTGAGCAAGGTTGGAAGACATGGGCTAAAATCCTGGCCCCATTGAAGTCAATAGCAAAATGTCCATGGGCTTCAGTGGGGCCAGGATTTCACCCATGGAGAATAAAAATGCCAGCAGCTACCTGGAGTCCTGTGCCCACTAGCACTTGAATGCTGGCACTGTTGCAACCGATAAGGTAGCTGAACTGGTGTCAGAGTAACAGCCGTGTTAGTCTGTATTCGCAAAAAGAAAAGGAGGACTTGTGGCACCTTAGAGACTAACCAATTTATTTGAGCATGAGCTTTCGTGAGCTACAGCTCACTACGCCTGGCCTGTGAGAATCCCTAGATGCTGCCGTGAGCAAGTTTTCTTACGTGGCAGTGGGTTTTCCCTTCTCCCCTGACTTCTGAGGCGGAGAGGGAGCCGTGTTCCAGACAGATTAGCCTACGGCTTTGGGCCAGAGTTGATGAGACTTCACCAAGATACAGGCACAGACACGTGGAGAGAGGGGAAAAAAAGAGAGCCTGTGAAAAATTAAAATGACAAGGCTGGTTAGGGAGTGGAGATAACTGGGGATGTAGTGAAATTAATTGCAGTCTGGGTTGAAAGAATCATGTTCCTAAAACAAAATTTCAGCTCCCCCTTCTCCCAGCAGCATCAGTGAGATTATAAACCCTTTCATTGCCCTTTTGTGTTACAAATAAAACTATTTGTTATGATTATTTGTTATTTCCACAGTGCTAAAGGTATGCATGGTATTTTACAGGCAAATCAGAGACAGGCTTGTAGTCAAAGACTCTGATCCTGCAAAGATTCATTGTGGGTAGTTCCATTAGGTGTAAAATGAAGCACACACCTAAATCCTCACTGGATTGGGTCTTAAATGAGAAGTAACACTTCTGGTACGTCTACACTGCAAGTGAAGGCGTGATTGTAGCATGGGTTGGCATGCCCATCTGCGCTTTAATCTAGCTAGAGTGTAGAATCATAGCAGCGTAGACACGGCAGTACAGGCTAGCAACCAGAGTACGTACCCAGGCTTCCTGATGGTTTTGGACTCCGGCATGGGTTAGCCACCGAAGGTCAAGCCCTCAGGAGAAGCTGAGTATGTACTCTGGTTGCTAGTCTATGTTGCCATGTCTGCTATTGTTACCTGAACTAGTTAGGTTTAAAGCAAGCTACCACAAGTATACCTCCCCGAGCTACAATCACACTTTCACAGGCAGGGGAGAGGTACCCGTCAGGTGGAACGACGGATATTCAGTGCCAGTGTAAACCTAGTCCCAAAACAAAACAAAAAGGCTGAACAGTTTTGAGAAATGAAATGTTTCTGGTTTTTATTTTGTGATTTGTTATTCCCCACTCCTCCTTTTTTCATCTTGCCACTGGGGGGTGGGGGAAGAGAGAAGAGGGAGAAAAAGGAGCAAAAAACCAATGAATGAGGTGAAAAAACAGAAATGGGAAAATGTTTGTTTTCTGTTTTGAAAACTGAAACGTTTTTGGGGTGGGGGCAATTTTTTAGTCAAAATAATCCAATTGTTTTCAAAGCAATCTGAATTTCCCGCCAACACTTTCCTTTTCAAACCCAGAGCAAGGAAGTCATGAAAGAAACCAGCTGCCCCCTAGTAGTGGAAGTTTTCTCGGGCACCTCTCCGTCCAGGCTGCCGGCAGAGAGAAGGGCTGGCTTTCAGAAGGACCAAGTCCTCACAATTCCAGCTGAAGTCAATGGGTTGCCAGCACTTCAGAAAATCATGCCCAGTCCCGAACAGTGTTCAGATTAGTGATGCACCCATCCAAGCAAATTACTACCTATTACTGGAATTGCTTGTCCAGTACTGCATCTTATTCTGTGATAAATTTCACCATTCATTAGGGCTCTGATCCACAAAACCATTTAAGCACATACTTAACTTTAAGCATATGAATGATTACATGCCAGCTTTGAAGCACATGCTGAAATGCTTCGAAGGACTGGGGCCTGGGTTATCTGATTCATTTCCCAGTAGGTCATTTTGTCTATCCCCGTGACTGGATTGTGTGTGATTGGATGAATATGCCTTTCCTACCATGCACTTTGTCAATTTCAGACTACAGTGAAGATGACACATATATACAATATACAATACAAATTATACTAACCACCACCCCCAACTCTTGCTCCCCCTCCCACTACAGTCTTTTCATGCCTAGGTGCTGACAAAAGTTATTTGTCGTATTTCCTCCTCTTGGTGACTGACAGGAGACTGGTGTCAAGTGAGAAAATGAAATGTAAATTTTATTAAACACTCCTCTCATCTCTTTGTATCAATCCAGATTCCAGCCTAACATAGCAAATCAAATCCTGTCTTTGCCAGGCCTGAGGGCAAATGTAGAATAATTTCTCCTTAATACTATTGCCTCCTAGTAAAATATTTTTCTGTTTAGTAAATGAAAATTTAAAATGCAAACCTTGTTTTAATCCCAAAGAAAAAGATGTGCATTTCAGGGGAAGAATACTACACTTCATTCTGTTCTGCCTTGTGCTTTCTTCTTGTTTTCAGACCCAACAATTGTGATTAGCTTCAGTTTAAATGGCAACTCCCATTTAAGTCTTGTCCGTCAGGACTTTCTAGATGTCCATCATGGGGCTTAGTAGCAGGTCCAGAGATAATTCTGATACATTTAATTTGAAATAGCATTATAATTACTGTAATGAATTGGTGTGTGCAACGCTGCTATCTACTGGATGGAATCGAAAATGCTCAGCTGTGTGTCAGAAGCTTTATACTATCATCATAATCCTTTAGCTGCAGTGTTCAGGCCTGTGTTTTCAGAAAAGGACGATCTCTATTCCAACCTTGCTGTTTCTGTGAATTTAGATTTTTCTATCAGTAGAGCGCCAGGTGGACTTCCCCAGAGACGGGCTCTCAGGGCTTCCAGGGTCCGTATTCCTGGGCAGCATGGAAGCCCTAGGAACCTTGCAGTGACACAGTGGTGCCAACTTGTAAAGTCTTCACTGTTCTTTACAAGCCACTCCTGTCTCTGACCTGACAAACTCATTACACCACTTTCATGGTATTTATCCATGAAGGGTAGCACGCACGGTCTCCACTGAGAGCTTGTAACTTATCAGGACTCATAGTCGTTGCGAGATGTGTGTATGCGTAACATTTTAGGGACAATGTAACTATATTGAAAATCATGTCTTATGGTCTTGGAGTCAAAATGAATCACCAGTAAATCATGTCTCAGTAAATCATGTGGTGACCCATTCAAGCTGGGGGGGCGTTGTCACCCTCCCTGGCAAGCCAATTACAGAATGTACTTCTCAGTGGTCTACCTTTGTACCACTCCAGAAAAGTCAATGAAAAACCATCAGTGACAAACTATAAACTTCAAAACCACTTGGAAGTGAAAATGAATGACAGGACAGTGAGGGGGAGGACCCTGCCTGGGAATAGAGAAAAGGCTGATTCAGTATATCACAGGGTGGAGAAAGACACTCTGCATCCATTCACTGAGGAGACAGCTACTTGAGCAGGGGTGTTTCATGAAAGCTTGGATCCTGGTTCCTGAGAAGCCAGCCAGCTCTGCAACAGACTGAACTTTCTGGGAGGGGGTTGGGGGCGATATACATTGTTAGATAGGAAAGGTCACTATTAATGAGTATAGGCCCCTAATTCACATTGTATGATTTTGTTTTATTTTGTAACCACTCTCTTGTTTATAGTGGAACCTCTACTCTTTCTGAATAAACATTCTTTGGTTTTATTCTGAGTGCTCTCAAGTGCTTTGCGTTTTGCAGGAGCGATGAGGTAAGGTAAAACTGGGAAACAGGGCTATGCTGTTGCTGTGGGACCAGAGGATCTGGGATTGCTAAGAGTAGCCAGTATTGGGCTGGATAACACAGGGGAACACTTCAGTGGGACTGCGGTGCTTGTATGGTTACTGTTCAAGGCAAAGACAGGGCTGGGATGGCCTGGAGGAGAGGGCTTGAATGGTGGACAGGCTGGGGGTGCTAAGGAGCTGGAGACAGCAGATAACAAGTTGAGGCTCACTCCTGGGTATCCTGAGCACTGTCACACTCACATCCTAAGCTCCCTGAGCTACCTGGCTTCCCAACTCAGGGAGCAGTGGCAATGATTTGAAAAGGTCGAACGGAAATGCTGTTTTGACAGTTTCCAAAATGAAATTCCAGAATTCCCATCCCACGGGACAGTTATCCCCAAATAACAGAAGAGGAAACAGGGGCACAGAAAAGTTAAGTAACTCAAAGGTCACCAAAGGGAATCCGTGGCAAAGGAATAAGCAAAAAGCACCAAGTTCTCCTGTCTCCCTGTGCTAAGTTCTCTGTCCTAGATGCCTTCCACACAAAAAAGTGTGGTAGACTATACCAATAATAAATACAGGGCAAGGAAGGATGCTTTTGCAGTTAAGGCCCTGGATGGGGACTCAGAAGATCTCAGTTCAATTCCACTCTCACAGACTCACCTTGGGTGAGTCATTTCATCTCTCTGTGCATTGGTTCCCCATGAATAAAATGGGAAAGATACTCCCTTTCTCCATCCCTTGTTTGTCGTTTCTTTTTAGACTGTAAGCTCTTCAGAGCAGAGACCATCTCTGACTATGTGCTGGTTGAATGCCTAGCACAATGTAGTCTCCACCAAGATCAGGGCCACTAGGCGCTACTTCAGATAAATAACAACAACATATGCAGCCAAGTTTGTTGCCTTTTCAAAGCACCAAGATTTAAAAGGTATCTTCTGTACTGAAGTGCTGTCAAATCACAGGAATTACCAGATCCCCTAATATCACTATTCCCTCCTCCGCCTCGCCAACTTAAATTCTCCCATGCCTCAAGCTACAGGGCTATTGGGACTCAGAGCTCTAGATATCTCCACCCAGCAGATCAGTCATTTCACACTGCCAGTGGGCTTCTTTACTATTCTAATACAGAACCGATTGCGCATTGTGACTAATAACATTGGCTGTATGAAAGAATTATTGCTATAAAGACTGAGAAAGGCCTCCTTGGATTTCTAGACAGGACAGTCTTGATTTTGAGAGAGCAAAGCATAAAATAACTTCACGGGCTTTCCAGACTGCAGTAGTCTTTTGGAGAGAAATCCACAATTGGTGCTTGAACTTGAAACTAGGAACATTTACCTGTCACAAAGTCTCTTAATTCATGCCTTAGAGTCCTCTGGGTCTGCCCACAATAACGCCCCTTTGGCTACAAAGATTTGACGGTGAAATACTTAGCGCTGCTATTATTATTAATTTGTATTACAGTGACACCTAAAGGCCTCTGCCAAGCTTGGGTCCACGTTGTACTAGGTGTTGTATACACACAGAGGATGAGACAATCCCTGCTCTAGATGGACAAGACAGACAAAGGAAGGACTCTCATCCCCTTTTCCAGATGGGGAACTGATGCACAGAGAGATTACGTGACCTGGAACAAGTCACTTAGAGCTCTGGCAGTGACTTCAGCGGCCTTAAAGGGAGTTATGGTCATTTTGTCTCCTTAATTACCACTATTTATAAATCATAGTGTGGTAGCACCTAGGAGCCCCAGTCAGGAACCAGGACCACGTTGTAGCAAGTCCCATACAAACGCAGAAGAAAATGATTGTCCCTGCCCCAAAGAGCTTACAATCTGAGTAATCATAATAGTAGTTATGAATGCAGCCAGCACTTTGTCTGCCACTAGGAAGAGGCGAAAGTGGGATTGGTATCCTGGAACAGGAGTTGACCTGGACAGAATCTCTATTCTAAAAGACACTCCACACCATGAAAAAGCGTGAGAAGCATTGTACTAGGCCACCTCTCTCTCAGCTTCATATTGTGTCTGCCGCTGGCTGCTTATGAACTGGTGTTGGATTTGAATACAGCCTTGGGGACAAGAGAAAGGGTTCTGGTGTTCATTTTTACATGCACTGGTACAACACCTTAATGAACTGCATGGTACAATGACTAACACAGGCATATGTTCAGCCTTAAAATACAGACTGGCCAACTACAGAAGGAAGAAATTACTGATGGCTGGACCTCAAAAGACAAAGACCTGATTCTGAGGTTAATTACACAGATTTTATACTGGCAACTCTGTGGGCTTTAGTGGAGTTACGCCTGACTTACAATGTGATAAATGTCCCCTTCTATCAGGTTGGTTTTGGCTAAGCACCAAGAGTTCTGATGTGCAGGTGAAAAGGAAGCGCTAGCTAAAAAGCACTAGCTAAAACACTCATCATCTCCATTACTGCTACATCCAAGCCTTTGGGCTTGATATATGCAATCTTTCCCCACTCATAATGTTACTGCAAAGAGCATTTTCCTAGTCCATTGCTTTTAACGTGTCACCCTTCTCTTTGCCTCCCTGTTCTCTATCATATCAGACATAAGCTGCTTGTCTTCATGGTCAAGGCTTTACACAGCTTATCCCAACCCTACCTATCGCCTCTCATTCACTAGCATGCTGTTGCCTGCCACGCTGACCAATTTCCTTGCATTCCTCTCCTGCCTGTATCTATCTGCCTCTTGTTTTATACTTATATAAAAAGCTCTTTGAGGCAGGGACCATCATTTTGTTCTGCGTTTGTACAGCACCCGTTTACAATTTAGACCTGACTTTATTCTGAAAACGTTCAATTGTGGTTCAGGATGATTGGTAGTTAGAATTGGGGCAGAGGGGGACTGCCTACATTAATTCACCAAATCGCTCCTCTGCTTTAGCAGGATGATGTATATAAGATTCTCAGAGAGCACATAATGAGATGGGCACATTACAATTACCTGAATAGTACAGAATCAACTGCCCACCACCACTAAAGAATGTAGCTGATATAAGCTGATGATACTCTTGATCTTAGCTCACATGTATGTTTCAGATGAAAAAAAATCAAGCAGATGATCAAGTCTGCCCCTTAAGAGCATCATATACATAATTCCCTGGACATCAGCTGTTGTATTTGGTTCAACGGGGCAAATATGCATCATCTCAAGTTTTCTTTATTGGTGTAGCATCTTGGGTTGTATAATGCAGGATTTCTACTTTCACTCTAGGGATGTCAGGTTTTTTTTTTTTAATGAATTTCATACCCACATAATTCTACTGGAAAGTGGTGCGTATGATACCTGCAGAGGACGCCATAGAAAAAATCTATGTAAATAAGTCAAAATGCATTATGGCTGCAGCCTGAAATTGGCATGTCAGAAAAGTGTTTGTTAACCAGGGACAATAGCAGAATCCTAAAACCATGGGCATTTTCCATACACACACGTGCTCATTAAAGGGTTTACTGATGTGTGTTGATTGCTAATGTAGCCCAACCTCCCCAGTCCTTCAGCAGCAGCAGTGGTAGCTGCAAGTTGTAAACTACAAGCTGCTGCATGTTGGGAGAACATCCTTCCTTCCAGAAAATACCCTCTGCTCACCCCACAAAGGAAGCTGTAGCACTGAAGTGGTGAGCATGAGGCAAGCAGAGAGGAGGCTGCTGGTCTAGAACCCTGTTCTCGGTTTCCTTACAGCAGAAAACTTTGCCCCTGCTGGTTTGTTTGCCTGAGTCGGGTCTGAGGTGAATACACACTGACACACAATGCAGAGCACACTCAGGCCCCATCTCCCAAAACTGTGAAAAGCTACAAGGCATACTTACCCTGTCTTGAACAACCTCTTACTGGAATGGGGAATGGGAGGCTGGGTTGCATGAAGAAGACCAAAAAAAAAAAAAAATCTGAAGACATTCCACCGTGATATGATTCCACTTCTGTGTCATAGTATCGGCCAAATCATAAGGACAGAGGACTGGAAGGGACGTCCTCGGTTGCTGAGTCCAGTCTCCTGCTATCACAGGGGACTGAACCGTTAGATGAACAGTCGTATAATCCTGTTCAGAAAGTGCATCTGCTGACAGTGGGCCTTGTGCAGGGGAGTCCAGCTGGGACACAGGGAGGTGCCATCCTGGTCTTCAGTCCACGCAGCAGCTTCGTCACAGTCCCATGTCCGGTGTGCAGTATGCAGTGCCATCCTTGGCTAGTTTCCCCTCTGGATGGGTTTTGGCCAGTGGCCTCGCATAGCGGTACCCTCAGTGTCCACCCCGACCACACATCCCTACCCATGACCCTTCCCAAAGTCTTTCAATCCAACCCCCATGAGGTGATGTCGATGGCACAATAACGTGTTGTATGGATGAAATGCAAGCCCCAGTCCCCACGCCAGATCTCTGCTGCCTGCCCCCTCCATATGAACCAATGCTACTGTTCTCTTGGGGTTAACCACTGTAGCATCTCAGTGCTGACAAAAAGCCCTGCTCTTCTAGAGTGCTTCCATCCAAGGATCTCAAAGTGCTTCGTAATCGTTGATGAACTATGCCTCACAACACTCCCCCAAGCATCAAAAGCAAACCAAGATGAGGAGACTTGCCCAAGGACATACAAGAAGGTTGTGGAACAGTCAGAGATAGAATCAAAGAATCCCGAGTCTAAGCCCTGTGATTTAACCACAAGCTCATCCCTCAACTAAAGCATCTACGTGCCCATGAAGGGTGGAGGCTTTGGAATTTTTTGTATTTTTAATCCCCATCTTCCCTGCCACCCCAAAATTATTACTGATGACACTTGCAAACAGGTCTCCTAGTAACCCCCGGAGGAACTTAGCGGATTTCTGGAACTTAGTCTCCAACTGAGTCAGTAACTGAGGCTGGTTGAAAATTTTCAATACTTTTATTTATTTATTTATTTATTTATTTGTTTGTTTATTTATTTATTTT